CAGAAGAATGCCAGACAAGAAACAATCAGGGCCAGCTAATTACCTCCCAACAAAGGATTCCCCCAGGCCGAAAGCAGCCAAGCTTTGAAGCTTCAAGGCTATTCAATGCTAATCAAGGTGGCCAATTGCAACATTCACACTATCTAAAAACTCTATAATCATTAGAGTAAATAAAGAACAACACTCAAAACCAGACAAGAAACAATCAGGGCCAGCTAATCATCTCCCAACAAAGGATTCCCCCAGGCAGAAAGCAGCCAAGCTTTGAAGCTGCAAGGCTATTCAATGCTCATCAAGGTGGTCAATTGCAACATTCACACTATTTAAAAACTCTATAATCATTAGAGTAAATAAAGAACAACACTCAAAACCAGCAGAATGCCAGAAAAGAAATAAGGCCAGCTAATTGCCTCCCAACAAAGGATTCCCCCAGGCAGAAAAGAGCCAAGCTTTGGAGCTGCAAGGCTATTCAATGCTCATCAAGGTGATCAATTGCAACATTCACACTATTCAAAAACTCTATAATCATTAGAGCAAATAAAGAACAACACTCAAAACCAGACAAGAAATAATCAGGGCCAGCTAATCGCCTCCCAACAAAGGATTCCCCCAGGCAGAAAAGAGCCAAGCTTTGGAGCTGCAAGGCTATTCAATGCTCATCAAGGTGATCAATTGCAACATTCACACTATTCAAAAACTCTATAATCATTAGAGCAAATAAAGAACAACACTCAAAACCAGACAAGAAATAATCAGGGCCAGCTAATCGCCTCCCAACAAAGGATTCCCCCGGGCAGAAAGCAGCCAAGCTTTGAAGCTGCAAGGCTATTCAATGCTCATCAAGGTGGTCAATTGCAACATTCACACTATTTAAAAACTCTATAATCATTAGAGTAAATAAAGAACAACACTCAAAACCAGCAGAATGCCAGAAAAGAAATAAGGCCAGCTAATTGCCTCCCAACAAAGGATTCCCCCAGGCAGAAAAGAGCCAAGCTTTGGAGCTGCAAGGCTATTCAATGCTCATCAAGGTGATCAATTGCAACATTCACACTATTCAAAAACTCTATAATCATTAGAGCAAATAAAGAACAACACTCAAAACCAGACAAGAAATAATCAGGGCCAGCTAATCGCCTCCCAACAAAGGATTCCCCCGGGCAGAAAGCAGCCAAGCTTTGAAGCTGCAAGGCTATTCAATGCTCATCAAGGTGGTCAATTGCAACATTCACACTATTTAAAAACTCTATAATTATTAGAGTAAATAAAGGACAACACTCAAAACCAGACAAGAAATAATCAGGGCCAGCTAATTGCCTCCCAACAAAGGATTCCCCCAGGCAGAAAGCAACCAGGCTTTGAAGCTGCAAGGCTATTCAATGCTCATCGAGGTGGTCAATTGTAACATTCACACTATTTAAAAACTCTATAATCATTAGAGTAAATAAAGAACAACACTCAAAACCAGCAGAATTCCAGACAAGAAATAATCAGGGCCAGCTAATTGCCTCCCTACAAAGGATTCCCCCAGGCAGAAAGCAGCCAAGCTTTGAAGCTGCAAGGCTATTCAATGCTCATCAAGGTGGCCAATTGCAACATTCACACTATTTAAAAACTCTATAATCATTAGAGTAAATAAAGGACAACACTCAAAACCAGCAGAATTCCAGACAAGAAACAATCAGGGCCAGCTAATCGCTTCCCAACAAAGGATTCCCCCGGGCAGAAAGCTGCCAAGCTTTGAAGCTGCAAGGGTATTCAATGCTAATCAAGGTGGTCAGTTGCAACATTCACACTTGCCTCCTACAGACAAGAGTTCAAACACAAAGGAAGAAACCATGAAAATGAACACAATCTGGCTTCCAGTATTCAAAAAAAACAACAACTTTATAATCATTACAGTAAATAAAGAACAACACTCAAAACCAGCAGAATTCCAGACAAGAAACAATCAGGTCCAGCTAATTAGCTCCCAACAAAGGATTCCCCCAGGCAGAAAGCAGCCAAGCTTTGAAGCTGCAAGGCTATTAAATGCTCATTAACATTCACACTTTTCTCCAACAGACAAGAGTTCAAGCATTCTCTCCTGACATTTCACCCACATCTATGGCAGGCGTCCTCAGAGGTTGTGAGGTTTGTTGGAAACTAAGCAAGGTCTCTGTGGGAGAACGGCCTCAGGGTGTTAGTAGGCCTTAGTATGAGAAGGCCTCGGTGTAAGCAGACCTCAGTCTGTGAGAGCTCTCTGTGGGAGAAGGACCTCAGTGTGTTAGTAGGCCTCAGTATAAGAAGGCCTCAGTGTAAGCAGACTTCAGTCTGTGAGAGGTCTATGTGGGAGAAGGGCCTCAGTGTGGTAGTAGGCCTCAGTATGAGAAGGCCTCCAGTGTAAGCCGACCTCAGTCTGTGAGAGCTCTATGTGGGAGAGAGCTCTCACACATTAGGCCTACTAACACACTGAGGCCTACTAACACACTGAGACCCTTCTTCCGCAAAGGGTCTCAGCAGACTGGGGCCTACTACCACACTGAGGCCTTTCTCCCACAGAGACATCTCACAGACTGAGGTCTGCTTACACTGAAACCTTCTCATACTGAGGCCTACTAACACACTGAGGTCCTTCTCCCACAGAGAGCTCTCACAGACTGAGTTCTGCTTACACTGAGGCCTTCTCATACTGAGGCCTACTAACACACTGAGGTCCTTCTCCCACAGAGACCTCTCACAGACTGAGTTCTGCTTACACTGAGACCTTCTCATACTGAGGCCTACTAACACACCGAGGTCTCTGTGGTAGAGGCCTCAGTGTGTTAGTAGGCCTAATGTGTGAGAGCTCTCTCCCACATAGAGCTCTCACATACTGAGGTCGGCTTACACTGGAGGCCGTTCTTCCACAGAGACCTCAGTGTGTTAGTAGGCCTCAGTATGAGAAGGCCTCAGTGTAAGCAGACCTCAGTCTCTGTGGGAGAAAGGCCTCAGTGTGGTAGTAGGCCCCAGTCTGCGAGAGGTCTCTGCGGAAAAAGGGTCTCAGTGTGTTAGTAGGCCTCAGTATAAGAAGGCCTTGATGTTAGTTCACCTCAGTGGGAAAAAGGCCTCAAGTGTTAGTAGGCCTAATGTGTGAGAAGCTTCGGTGAGAGAAGCCCCAGGTTGAAGGCTATTATATATGAAGGCTGCTGTGTATAAAAAGCTACTGTGCGACACTCCTGCGTAACTTTGGTGTGAGAGGAGGCTCTGTGAGAGCAAAGCTCTTTATCTGCATAAGAAAGAAGCCCAGTGTGGAAGCAAGGGAGGAAGTGTAAAGAACTTTGTTCGTGTTATGGAAACCTTGCTCTTGTAAATAGTGCAACCATATTATTTTACTACAAAGAAAAACATCCTATGGAAGAGATAACATTGATTGGTGTGATTTTGTTCTTTTTATCCCTTTGGGTTACCGGTGCTGGGTCATGCTACTGCTAATAAGTTACTCTGTTGTACATTTGTGAAGAGGGTCTTTTGTCATAAGCCCACTCGCCCAACAAACTCCTCCAAGAGTGGATTTCCCTTCTTAAAGGTAGATCTCTCTCACTTTCTGTGGTCTCAGCCGCATTCTTAACTAGGAGTCGTTTGCAAGTCAGGTGTGTACAGGGATTGCCTGTACATTCTAAAATATTTTAGAAACATGCTATTAACCCTTTAAAGGCAGAAGATGACAGAAAAAGAATAGTCTTGTTGTATGTCAGTCTGTGATTAGGTCTGATGTTTCTGATGTTCATGCTGATGTTCATGATGGAAATGGGGATGATATTCCTGGGGTCTGTTGGCGTTAGGAATAAGGGTTCACTGGCCCTGAGTTAAGTTCAGATGAGAGGCCTGAGCTGTCTCAGGAAGATTCACAAGGCCACATTCCTGAGAAAGACCCTTCACAGCTTTTCTCAGAGCAACTGTCGGAAGATTTGTCAGGTGCAAACACAGGCAGAGTCTTCAGACACTGAGACGATCAGTTCGTCTACAGCAAAAGAGAGATCACAAACCTTTATCTAGTGGGAAGAACAAGATAAGTGCTTTCATTTGTTTTGGGATGTGAAAAAGCTTCATAATGATTCCTGGACTTGCTTCAATCAGGTCCATGTTGGAATTTTATTATGGTCTTGCTTCCAAGTGCTCTTAGTTTCATGTACCAAGTTTTTGCCAAGCTTAAGGTGTATATGGGATTCTCCTGCTGTCTTGTTTCATGGATTCAACGTTTCATGGAATTTTATGTATGTATGGATCTTGTTCTCCCCTGAAGTTTATGGACTATTTTATATTTTGGACCCTTACTGTTTTGCTACTTCTTACTGCTTTGCCTACATATATAAGTGCTGGTCTTGACCTATAAAACCCTATATGGCGCCGGCCCAGCGTACCTGTCCGAACGTATCTCCTTCTACGTCCCGCCTCGGAGTTTAAGATCTTCTGGAGGGGCCCTGCTCTTGGCCCTGCCCTTGTCACAAACGAGGCTGGCGGGGACGAGGGACAGGGCCTTCTCGGTGGTGGCCCCCTGCCTGTGGAATTCACTCCCCGGGGAAATTAGATCATCGTCATCCCTCCTCTCTTTTAGAAGGAAACTAAAAACATGGATATGGGATCAGGCCTTTGGGTAATCTGGCAGACTGACAAGGACAATGACGACAAAAGCTTTGGAAATGGACTATGATAAGCTGAATGGACTCACTAATTACAGACCTCGGAGAAACGCTGGCCACCAGTTTTTAGATTTTATTGTATGAATTTAATGTTTTAATTATTTAAAATTACTGTTGTTTGTATTTTACTGTATTGAATTGTAGGCATCAAATTTGTGCCGGTTGGAAGCTACCCTGAGTCCCCCCTAGGGGGTTGAGAAGGGCGGGGTAAAAATACCCAAAATAAATAAATAAATAAATTCTTCAATAAATTGCTTGCTGATTTTACCAAGTTGGTGTGGTGTTTAAGGTCAGAGGTGTTCCTGCTCAGATGTACAACAGGACGGCAACATCATTCTCTCCGGAGAAGAAACCACGTCAGCTTTCCCAAGACTGGCAGCTCCATTTCTGCAAAAAGGTCTTGACCTTCTTCCCTGTCTTCACCAATAAAACCCACACAAGATATTTTGCAGAAAGATTCATTTTATTACCTTAAAACACAGGGCATTATAATTTAGGAATAATCTACAAACTTACCAAAGTGCAGATCAGTGCAGTGAAATCTGTGAAAAGCAAACGGAGCAACAAAACTCAAAGCCAGGGATGGGCAAACTTTTGCCCCTCACTCCAGATGTTTTGGACTCCCAACTCCCACAATTCCTAACAGCCTACAGCGTCTGTTTGGAGACAGCAGCAACAGAAGTCCAGAGGCAGATGCAAGGCAGACAAAAAGGTGGATTTTTCTCCTTCCATGAGACTTTGCAACTGTTTTGTAGAACAAGAGAGAGGGAGAGCCTCAGGTGGGAGTAAAACCCCTTGGAACGCCATCCGACCCATTCCTCCTTCTGCATTTCCATTGGTGCAAGATCACAACATTCTGCAACTACGGCACTTGCTGAAAGTATTTCTGGACCCCTTCTTGGCTCCAGAGTCATCTGAGCACTCAATAACTTTCCAACTCTTCCCCCTACATTAAGATGCTTATAGAACTTGTGCGCCAACTGCGACCGTACCTTGGGAAGTCTGACTTGGCCACGGTAGTCCACGCTCTGGTTACATCCCGTCTTGACTACTGCAACGCTCTCTACGTGGGGTTGCCTTTGAAGACGGCTCGGAAGCTCCAATTAGTCCAACGGGCGGCAGCCATGGTACTAACAGGAGCGGGACGCAGGGAGCATACAACTCCTCTGCTGCACCAGCTCCACTGGCTGCCGATTTGCTACCGGGCCCAATTCAAAGTGCTGGCGTTGGCCTTTAAAGCCCTAAACGGTTCTGGCCCAACTTATCTATCCGAACGTATCTCGGCCTATCAGCCCACCAGGACCCTAAGATCTTCTGGGGAGGCCCTGCTCTCTATCCCGCCTGCTTCACAGGTGCGGCTGGCGGGGACGAGAGACAGGGCCTTTTCTGTGGTGGCCCCTCGGCTTTGGAACGCCCTCCCCATAGAGGTAAGATCAGCCCCCTCGCTGATGGTGTTTCGAAAAAGACTGAAGACATGGATCTTCGAACAAGCATTCGGTTAATCCGATGCAACAAATCTGATGATCAAGGATTGGTAATCACAGACGAGGAAATTGGATTGCGATTTTAGTTAAGAGATGCATTGGTTTGATATTGGTGGCCCAATATTGTGTTTTATGTATGTGTTTTTATGCTTTTTAAACTGAATATCGTTGATTATTGTAGTGTTGTAAACCGCGTTGAGTCGCCAATGTAGGCTGAGAAACAGCGGTATACAAGCGCAGTAATAAATAAATAAATAAATAGAACAATTTTAATACTCGATATTAAATTCTGGTTTTGTTTATAGATTTTAAATTGTGTTGTCGAAGGCTGGAATCACTGGGTTGTTGTGAGTTTTGCAGGCTATCTGGCCATGTTCCATGTTCCTGATGTTTCACCAGCCTCTGTGGCTAATGGCATCTTCAGAGGTCTGTTAACATTGCCCAGACATAGGATGCCTCCAGGCAACAGACGTCAGGCTGCCTCTAGGCCAGTGGTTCAAAACCTATGGGTCCCCCTTCAACTCCCATAAATCCTAACAACTGGTAAATGGGCTGGGATTTCTGGGAGTTGTAGGCAAAACACCTGGGGACCCACAGGTAGAGAACCACTGATCTAGGTCACTTGACCAGAGATGACTTTGACCAGGGACGCTATGACCAGGAACCGCTTTGACCAGGGATTGCTTTGACCAGGGACCACTTTGCCATTTGCCATAAATATCAGGAGATAATGCAAATGGAACATGGCTCCACAGCCCAAAAAATTCACAGCAACCCAGTGATTCCAGCTGTAAAAGCCGTTGTCAACATGAATGCTACTGCCCCCCAAAAAACTCCCCCCCCCCAAAAAAACTCACAGAAACCCATATTTCAAATGGTTTTGAAATGCTTTTTAATGGAAGCCACTTTGACTCTCCTTTGTGGAGAGAAAAAGCAGGGTATAAGTAAGCCCAATAATAATAATGTAGCCCGCCCATTGTCATTGTGATTGCGCCTATCGTAATTTTATATTGTTATATATTTACATGTTTTATTTTATTATGATGTTGTTTACTGTTTGCGTTTTCGGTTGTGTTTTGGTTTTATTTTATTGTAATTTGTTGTTCGGGCTCGGCCTCATGTAAGCCGCTCCAGGTCCCCACTGGGGAGATGGTGGTGGGATATAAATAAAGATTATTATTATTATTATTATTATGAAGAAGAAGAAATTCGTTTTTAAAATAACCATAACCCTGCACCACTTTTCCTCATCACATTGGGCAACAAGGTATGATTTCGGTCTCTTTCCCCTAAGACAGGCATGGGCCAACTTTAGCTCTTCCTCCAGGTGTTTTGGACTTCCACAATTCTTAACAGCCTAGGGGGAGAGCTGGAGTTGGCCTATCCCTGCCCTAAGAAAATGGAACAGAAGAGGGAAGAACCAACGATCAGCCACGTAGATGAGAGATCTGCCACAAGCATCCAATTCATTGAAGGGTTCACCCATCTTTCCCCTAGAAATGGGCCTCTGTAAACACTGCTTCAGCCAGGCCAAGGGAGACCTACGCAGGGACCACTTTTCCCAAGCCACGCAAAAGCGTTCTTCTTGCCACTGTTCCTCCACCTTCTCCTTTCTCACGCCAAGGACTTGGAGGCCCCTCCAGTCGACCCAAACTCGTCCTTTTGGGTTGAACTAAGCTGGTTTGGTTTCCAAGTTAAGATAGTAAAACCGTTCGGTAAGTCATTTGGCCCCTGAGGTGCATTTCTCTCTCTCGGCTAGGAAGCCGCAGTGGAGGCAGCGGAAGGCAAGGCCTGGGGGGCCTCTGGGGAGAGCAACTGCAGGAACGCTTTCACCTGTGGGGAAGCGGAAGAGCGTTGGTCAAGAAACAGACCCACAAGTCATTATGTGTTCGGTCCAATGTGATCATTGGAGGCCCAAGGAATCAGACGAACATAACGGACTCAACCGAGAGTGAAATAGTCAGAGAAGCCAAGCTTTAGGAACCCTCTTACCTGGCTCATGAGCCTTCCTTGCTCCTTTGGATCACTCTCAAAATCTTTTGTGACATCAAGCAGCAAGACTGGAGCATCCCTTACGCTCTCAGAATGGACCCTGTGGAGAGAAAGGGGGATTTTCTCTGTTGAGGTCTTTAGACCTCGATAGCCTTCATGGCGCTTCAGTTCTGCTGTGTGGTTTGGCTCCCGTCTCCGAGTGCTCTCTCTTGAATATATTTTTCTCCCAGGAAGCAAGAAATGCAGGAAGACTCTCTAATGAAGCAGGGGTTTTAAGCTGTTTTATCTCAGAGGTCTTAGGGGAAGAGAAGTCTTATGGGACACAATAGTCGTGCTGGATGGGCAGGTATGTTGATGATATTCTGGCACCAGGTCAAAACATGGCTGTTGACAAAAGATACCATAAGCTGAGTTTTTCAGACCTTTTTATGGGCTGAAAAAGTCTCCCTCACCTTATAATGGGGTCAAGCCCAGCAATGGAGCCTGGAAGCCATTGCTTGCAATATATGATCTATTTCTCTCTCTCCTCTCCCCCTCCTTAAACAGTGTGTTTTCTTTTCTGCTTCTGCTCTGCTTCTCCAGGCTGGAATATTTTGAAAAGGGAAAGGAGGAGGAGAGACCCTTGAAAGTCAGGAAGATCCATTTATCTTCTAAAAGCATTTTCCCCTGAAATATCTGTTAATCTCTCCTTCAGATATATAAGCATTTCCCTCTGCAAGCCTTTGCAAATCCTATGTACCTATATATGTTTCTATCTATAGACATTAATTTTATATATATATTGTCCCCACATATGTTTGCAGGTCTTTGCAAATCTTATATGAATATAGATATCTAGAGATTTCCATGTATCTGTATCTATATGTGAACGCTTGCTGACTGTTGTACATTAATGTGGATGTTTTGTTTAGATTTATGTTATTATAGAATTTGGTCTGATTACATGTAGTTTAATTTATTGATGTCAGGTTTAATTTACTGATATTAGGTCTTAATTTGATGGTAGGCTTTAATGTTACTTTTATATGTGGGAGCTTTCTGGGGTTTTATGATAGTATCATGCGTTTTATGTAGACATTGAATGTTTGCCATTGTTATTTTGGAATCCTTCCTGAGTCCCCTTGGGGAGATAGGGCGGAATACAAATAAATGATGACGATGATGATGATGATTACTACTACTACTACTACTACTATATATGAATTTTCCCTCACATGTTTGCAAGTCTTTGCAAATCTTATATAGCTATAATTATCTGTATAGAGAGATATGTCTGAATAGATTTATAGGACTTGCAAATATTACCAGGGGGAAATGCACACACAAATAAATATAGACATGTCTACATAGATATGAATATAGATATATATGACTTGCAAATAGTGGAGGGGAAATGCATGCACGCACACACACAGAGATGTTTAGACAGATATAAACATAGATATATAGAGCTTGCAAATACTGCAGAAGGTAAATGCACATATATAGAGAGAGGATTTGCAAATATTACAGGGGAAAATGCATTTGTGAAATTAGTATATATCATTATAGATCTATATCTAGCTCTGCATTGTTTATATCGGCATTGAATGTTTACCTGTTACTATGCTGAGTCTCCATGGGGAGATAGGGCGGGATTCAAATCAAGTTCTATTATTATTATTATTATTATTATTATTATTATTATTATTATTATAAAATTATTGTTCATACCATATTGTTTTTGTTGACCCTCCTTTTCCACTTACAGGGCTAGTTTACTGTTTTTCTTTGAAATACGGCAAATACTCAAAAACATTTAACCTACCAATGCCTCAATTAATGTAATTTTATTAGTATCTATTTTTATTTTGAAATTTACCAGTAGCTGCTGCATTTCCTCACCCTCGGCATACAGTACCTGGTTTTGAATGGCTGTCAGCTGATTTTAATCTTTTAAGGTGTTACATTCTTGATGTGTTTTTCTGCCTTTCAAAGTCCTCAAAGAAAGAGAGGAAGAGGAGGCAGCAGAGCACATCCCTGACCCTGCTCCCAACCAGCTCCTGCTACACTCCAACCCACTCACTGAAAACTCACAGCAACCCACTCACTGGGTGGTTTTCTCCAGGAGCCAGTTTTCATGCTGCGTGTGGAGCTGCTCCAGGTACTGCAGCTGGACCTCACTCTCTTCCGCCCTGGCCCTCCGGCGCAGCCTCTCCATGCAGATCTGAAGGGACAGAGAAGGACGGTACTTGAGGACCTGCTCTGAGTCCTAATCTCCAGGGCAGCAGAAAACAAGCCTGAATGCAAAGGAACACATAATTCTGGTGGCGTAGCAGAAAAACCCACAATCCTACACCACAAGGCTCTATTAGGTGCAACCATTCCCCTCCCAATCCAGAAAACCCACTGGGTGACCTTAGGCAAGTAATAGGCTCTTTCAGCCACAGAAGGAGGAAAATCTCTGACCAAGAAAACCCATAGAGAGGTTGTCATAATCAGTTATTGCATTTGAAGGCACTTGACAATGAGTCTTGGGAAAACTCCACCAAGGAGGGAGCCAATGGACACCCAATCATTTGAGCCGCATTCTCAGTTACCTCTGGAGGTGCTCGGAGGTAGAGGAAGCCATGGAGGCCAAGCTGGCCCTCAAAGGCTTGCAGGAGGAAGGAGTGCCAGTCCTGGTAGATGATCCACTCTGTCTCAGCCAAGTGGCCTGTCTCAAAGAGGTTTTTGGCAAAAACGTACCTGGGAGAGAAGGGAAGCCAGAAAGTGAGACCTTTGCGGAACAACAACCAAGGCAGGAAAAGCTCAAAGAAATCTGAACAGCTGAAGGCAGAACCCCAATTCTAACCAGGGGCAGGTTTTTTGGAACACAATACATCCAGGGCTGATCATAACATGCATTTTAAGCCAAAGGAAACACATTCTTATATATGGAAAGAGGGTGAAGTTGAAACAGACTTTAAAAGCTAACTTCTTGCCAGAGCAAGAACCTGCTGCCAAAGCATGCCTGGGAGGTGGATGTGGAATCACACACATACGGCCTTTATTGGCATACAACAGCAAAATCACAGAACAAGCATATACAACAAAAGACAAAGATAAAAAGAAAAACATACTTAAAAGTTACTAGTCTCAACTGTCTCACAAAAGAATGCATCAGAGTTGTTTGGAAGATATGGAATTTCGTAACACCCTTGCCATTGCTCTGCATTGTGACGGGTCAAATCACTCTTAAAACCTTGGCATGAATGAGAGCTATAATATTCTGGCTGCATATACATTTTCAAGCAGACCTTGATAGCTATATTCCCTCTGTGTTATCAGATCATTTTATTTCGGAATAGTACTCTTTGGTTCTCAGGAAGATCGAAGCAATTGGCCTATCTTTGGAAGCACTCTTAATGCTCACAAAAGTGGAATCTTGCAAGTCAATCAAGAGCAGACTTTTGGATCTTGACTTTCATAATCTGACTCTTGCAGCAAAGACCACTTATTCCTCTACCACATCATTTCTTCCATGCAAATGCAGAGTTATTATGGCAGCTTATCTTATTTTGATTCATCCCACCCAAAGGAGAGCTTTGACGATTGCAAGATGCAACATAAAACAACAAACATTTATGTATCCCCTGGGCAATGTCCTTGTAGATGGCTAATTCTCTCACACCAGAAGCAACTTTATGTTTCTCAAGTAGCTCCTGACATGAAAAGAAAAACACCATTATTTCTCTGTATGCCTGAAACATGATAATATATGGATGAAATACAGAAATCCATTTTTTTCACACTGTTCCCATGGCAAAGGTAGATGTGGGATTAATTCAGACCCTAAGCTCATTAGACCTTGCATCAAAGGATTTTTCCTTGTTTTCCTATCCTTTGTCCATCCTCTTGCCTTCACATCTCTAGCTGGGAAGTGGAGGGAAATCTCCCTTCCTCTGCCTAACTAGCCCTCGCCTTTGACTCCATCACACTCCCAGAGACATAAAAAAAGAATTCCCTACCTGTCACTATAAACAGATCTCTCAAAGACCTGGACTGCCTCCTGTGCGTTCGGAGGTTTTGTGGGCAGGGGCTCCAGCTGGGCCTTGAGGCGGCTGAGGCAGGAGTAGGTCTGGAAGGTGTAGGCCCACCGCGCAGGGTCCTGGTAGACCATCTGGAGCAAGTTCCCAAGGCCTTGAGGATGGGGGCTCTGCTGGGAAAGGAAAGAGATGGGAAATTAAGAGCGAGAAAATAAATATAATAAATATAATAAATATAATAATAATAATACTAGGGCACTGGAGAAAACATGCCAAAAGGGACTAACATTCATGTTATCCAATAATCCTAAAGATAATGTTTTTATCTGAGGGAGAGGAAAAGACTATTAAGAACCAGTTTGGAAATAAAAAGTGTTGGCATATTCATTTGTTAATGCAAAAACAAGCAAAGTAAAATATCTTGCTGGGTAACAGGGGGAAAAGACAAAATGGTAAACCTATAGAGAAAAAGAAGGAAAAAAACAATCTCGAACCAGGTCAGGCCTGCAGTTTGCAAACTTTTGGCATTGCTGATTGACTCTCACCGGATGGGGCCCCGGGCCTTGAACCTTCTGCCATTTGGAAACGGGCTCCAGAGTCATGCGCCAATCTGGGAAGGCTTTCCGGAGCAGCCTCACAAACGTGGATTTGCCCACCGCTACAAGAGAAAGAAGGAAGAATGAGGCTAGTGAGTCTGTATTCATATTTATTGTTAAGTTTTTAGCAAAAAAGGACTGTGGCAAAGCCCTGCTCATGGGCCTAAAAACTTCAGAGAAGGGCTCATAGGGTTTGTCTTTTCAACAGCCCATAAGCCCACATGCCTTAGACCCTCCTGCACCAGTTCTGATTTGGGAAGAAGAAGAATGAAGGGGTGGAATAAGTAAATAATAAGTGAATAAGAGTAAGTGATATGAGTAAATAAGTAAATAAGAATAATGAATAATATTAAGTGGAACAAGTAAATAAGAATAAGTGAAATAAGTAAATAAGAATAAGTGGAATAAGTAAATGAGAATAATATTTATTTATTTATTTATTTAATACACTTGTATACCGCTAATATCTCAGCCTAAATCGGCGACTCATTGCGGTTTACAGCAATTAAAAGCAATGTACAATTTAAAACAACAACACGTAAACAATACAAATTATTGGGCCACCAATAATAATACCATGCTTCTCGTCACAAAAATCACAGTCCAGAGTTCGTCATCCATAATTAACCAGTCCTTAGTCTATAAATTCAATAGTAACAACTAATTGAATGCTTGTTTACACAACCATGTTTTTAATCTCTTCCGAAAGACCATCAGCGAAGAGGCTGATCGTATCTCTATAGGGAGGGTGTTCCAAAGCCGAGTAATAATAAGTAAATAATAATGTGAAATAAATAAAAGAATAAGAATAATAAGTGGAATAAGTACATAAGAATAATAATGCCACATATTACAACAGAAAAAGATCGAACCTTTCACAACATGCTTCAAGAGCTGGGTTTATGAATCAGAGGAATGGTTTTAAACAGACATGTAGCTATATACAACAATCCTGAAGGGAGTAACATAATAAGGAACAATAATAACAACAACAACAATAATAATAAGTGGAATAAGTAAATAATAATGTCACATATTACAAAATAGAAAAGTCAAAAGTCCGCATCTCCTCAGATAAATACAATCCATACACACACACACACAAATTGGCATTTGGAGAGTAAAAGAGTCAAGAGCAGCTGAATAAGTTAATAATAATAATAATAATAATAATAATAATGTGTTTTTATTTGATACTCACCTCTTCTTAGGTAAGACACAATTCCATTAAATATATGCCTATAGAGAAATAATTTGTGTGTGTGTGCGCACGCATGCGAGCAAAAATTTCCATTAGAGAGTAAAAGGGTCAAGAACAGCAGAATAACAATAATAAATTGTTTCCCACCTCTCCTCAGGTAAAATACAATCCCATTAATTGTAGGTGTGTGTGTGTATAGTATATATATATAATCAAAATAATTTCTATTTGTTTACCCACTTCTCTTCAAATAAAGCAGGCCCATTCAATACATATATATTAATAATAGAAATATAATATATGATAATATGAAATAATATATAATATTGTAATAACAATATAATTTTTATTTGTGATCCACTTCTCAAATAAGACAGGCCCATTCAATACATATATATTAACTACACCCTGCTGTTCTTGACCCTACATATATATTAACTACACTACTGTCTGTATGTGTATATGTATATAATCAAGATAATTTCTATTTGTTACCCACTTCCCCTCAAATAAAACAGGCCCATTCAATACATATATATTAAAATATTATATATTTTTATTGTAGTTAATATATATGTATTGAATGGGCCTGTTTTATTTGAGGGGAAGTGGGTAACAAATAGAAATTATCTTGATTATATACATATACACATACAGACACACAATTAATGGGATTGTATTTTACCTGAGGAGAGATGGAAAACAATATATATATATATTATTGTTGTTGTTGTTGTTAATATACAGTGTTCCCTCACTTTTCACGGGGGTTATGTTCCAAGACCACCCGCGATAAGTGAAAAACCACGATGTAGGGACACTATATTGTATATGTACAGTATAGCTCTGCCCACTCCTCTCTCCCCCTCCTCTCTCTCTCTCTCTCTCTCTCTCTCCCTCTTCTCTTTCCCCCCTCTTCCTCCTTTCCTCCCTCTCCTCTTGCTGGAGCCACCTTTCTCCCTCCCTCCCTGCTTCTCCACTGGCATGGGGATCTCACTAGGTCGTCCAAGGAAGAAGCCCCGTGGAAGCTGCCTTGGCGGTCCTTTCCGGGGTCTTTGCCAGCCACACACATACCTCCCTTGCAGCCTGCCGCCTCTGCCAGCCAGGGTTATGTTTCCAGCTTCCGAGGAAGAAGCCCCGGCGGAAGCTGCCTTGGTGGCCCACTCTTTGCCAGCCACACACACACCTGTCTGTGAGTAACTCTGCAACTCAAGTCTATGGCAGCATCTATGCTGGAGAAACAACACACTTTGATAATGGGTATACAGTGTTCCCTCGCTTCTTGTATTTTTTTTATTTTTTTAAAAAAACCATGAAACAGCAAGTCCATGTGAAGCAAACTGTGAAACAGCGAGGGAACACTGTATATGTACTGAATGGGACTGCTTTATTTTAGAAGTGAGCAACTAATCAAAATTACATTGTTGCTGTTGTTACTACTAATATGTTGTTTATTCATTCAGTCACTTCTGACTCTTTGTGACCACATGGACCAGCCCACGCCAGAGCTCCCTGTCGGCCATCACCACCCCCAGCTCCTTCAGAGTCAAGCCAGTCACTTCAAGGATACCATCTGTCCATCTTGCCCTTGGTCGGCCCCTCTTCCTTTTTCCATTTTCCCCAGCATCATTGTCTTCTCTAAGTTTTCCTGACTTCTCATTATGTGACCAAAGTACTTCATCCTTGTTTCGAATATCCTTCCCTTCAATTTCCTGATGTATGGACTGGTTGAATCTTCTTGTGGTTCAAGGCACTGTCAGAATTTTTCTCCAACACCACAGTTCAAAAGCATCTATCTTCCTTCGCTCAGTCTTCCCTATGGTCCAACTCTCACATCTGTAGGTGACTATGGGGAATATAATTGCTTTAACTATGCGGATCTTTGTTGCCAGTGTGATGTCTCTACTCTTCACTATTTTATCGAGATTGGTCATTGCTCTCCTCCCAAGAAGTAAGCATCTCCTGATTTCCTGGCTGCAGTCTGCGTCTGCAGTAATCTTTGCACCTAGAAATACAAAGTCTGTCACGGCCTCCACGTTTTCTCCCTCTATTTCCCAGTTATCAATCAGTCCAGCTGCCATAATCTTGGTTTTACTGATGTTTAACTACAACCCGGCCTTTGCGCTTCCTTCTTTCACCTTGATTAGAAGGCTCCTCAGCTCCTCCTCGCTTTCGGCCATCAAAGTGGTGTCACCTGCATATCAAAGGTTGTTAATGTTACTTCCAGCAATTTTAACCCCAGCCTTGGATTCGTCAAGCCCCGCATGTTGCATGATGTGTTCTGCATACAAGTTGAATAGGTTGGGTGAGAGTAGACAACCTTGCTGTACGCCTTTCCCAATCTTGAACCAGTCTGTTGTTCCATGGTCAGTTCTTACTGTTGCTTTTTGTTGTTTATTCGTTCAGTTGTCTCCGACTCTTCGTGACCTCATGGACCAGCCCACGCCAGAGCTCCCTGTTGGCCGTCACCACCCCCAGCTCCTTCAAGGTCAGTCCAGTCACTTCAAGGATGCCATCCATCCATCTTGCCCTTGGTCGGCCCCTCTTCCTTTTACCTTCCACTTTCCCCAGCATAATTGCCTTCTCTAGGCTTTGCTGTCTCCTCATGATGTGGCTCATGATGTTGCTACTTGGTTCTTATACAGGTTCCTCAGAGACAGACAAGGGGGCTTGGGATGCCCATACCACTAAGAACTTGCCACAATTTATTATGATCCACACAGTCAAAGGCTTTAGAATAGTCAATGAAACAGAAATAGATGTTTTTCTGCCTTTCCCTGCCTTTCTCCATTATCCAGCATCCGGATATTGGCAATTTGGTCTCTCGTTGTTACTAATATGTATATGTATGCATGTGTGTGTGTATATATATATATATACGTGTGTGTATGCATGTATTGAATGGGCCTCCTTGGGGAGATGGGGCGAGTTATAAATAAAAGTATTATTATATTGTTATTTATTTATTTATTTATTTATTTATTTACGACATTTATATGCCGCCCTTCTCACCCCGAAGGGGACTCAGAGCGGCTTACAAGGTATATATACATACAATATATTATTAACATAGTGAAATATCAATTTTAAATATTGCTACATTGCACTATATCAATTATACTGTAATATTATTAGTAATATTACATGTAATATAAATATATAATTATAATATCATATTATTATTAGTAGTAGTATATTGCATTACATTGCATTATATCATAAATAATAACATATACACAAAATGGTATTTGGAAAGGACAAGAGTCAAGCACAGCAGAATAAGCATCTCTATCTGTATCTAGATCTACAAATAGAGAACACAGAACAGGATCAAAACACACCAAGAGAGACTCCTGGGCAAGAAGGGCTTGAGGCCTGTGCAGAGGGCCTTCTCCCATTCCCTTTTGAGGGGCTTCTCAGCGACAGAATATCATTCCTATTATTCTTCGACATTGCTATTATATTATTGTTGTTGTTGTGGTTGTTGTTATACACTCACCAATATTTCCTTCCACAGAGAGCCTCTTGCCGGTTTCCACGCAACGAGACCGCGCCGCCATCTTGGACGCTCGCGGGAGAGGCTGACTGCGCCTGCGCGCGCAAAGCTCAAACGGGGCTCCGAAGGAGCCCCGTTTGAGCTTTGCGCGCGCAGGCGCAGTCAGCCTCTCCCGCGAGCGTCCAAGATGGCGGAATTTCGTCCCAGCGGCCTCCATTTGCGGGGCAGCAAGAGAGTGGAAAGGAACACCTCAGCGCGCTGACGTCATCCGCCCGCGGGGTTGGGAGGGGGGAGTGGTGTCGGAATACACTCGGAAGAAATGCCGCAACGATTTTGTTTATATCTCTTTGACGTCAACAGCAGCCACTGCCAGAAAAGAACTTCCATCTATTCCAGTGTTTCTCAACCTGGAAGGGTCGCAAAGGGGTGTCATAGGGGTCGCCAAAGACCATCAGAAAACACAGCATTTTCTGTTTGTCATGGGGGTTCTGTGTGGGAAGTTTGGCCCAATTCTATCACTGGTGTGGTTCAGAAGGCATTTTAATTGTAGGTGAACTATACATCCCAACAACTACAACTCCCAAATGTCCATTTTCCCCAAACTCCAGCAGAGTTCACATTTGGGCATATTGATTTTCATGCCAAGTTTGGTCCAGATCCATCATTGTTTTGAGTCCACAGTGCTCTCTGGATGCAGGTGAACTACAACTTCCAAACCAACCAAACACTTCCAGTATTTTCTCTTGGTCATGAAAGTTCGGTGTGCCAAGTTTGGCTCAATTCCATCATTGGTGGAGTTCAGAATGCTCTTTGATTGTAGGTGTACTATAAATCCCAGCAACTACAACTTCCAAATGACAAATCAGTCCCTCCCCTACAATCCATCAGTATTCAAATTAGGGAATATTGGGTATTTGTGCCAAATTTGGTCCAGTCAATGAAAATACATTCTGAATATCAGATATTTACATTACAATTCATAACAGGAGCAAAATTGCAAAATTACAGGTATGAAGTAGCAATCAAAAGAATCTTATGGTTGGGGGTCACCACAACATAAGAATTGTATTAAGGGGTTGCGGCATTAGGAAGGCTGAGAACCACTGATCTATTCTATGCTCAAGCAGGGAACTTTGAAATTACTAAACAGGCCCTTCAATACATATATATTAATAATAATAATAATAATAATAATAATAATAATAATATATAATAATAATATTTTATTTTTACTCACAGCTCAATTTTTTTGTCGTGTCAGGAGCAACTTGAGAAACTGCAAGTTGCTCCTGTTGTAAGAAAATTGGCCGTCTGCAAGGACGTTGCCCAGGGAACACCCAGATGATTTGATGTTTTTATCATCCTTGTGGGAGGCTTCTCTCATGTCCCCGCATGAGGAGCTGGAGCTGATAGAGGGAGCTCATCCGCCTCTCCCTGGATTTGAACCTGCGACCTGTCGGTCTTCAGTCCTGCCGGCACAGGGGTTTAACCCACTGCGCCATCGGGGGCTACAGCTCAAATAAAACAGGCCCTTCAATACATATATATTAATAATTAATAATAATATAAAACAATAATAATAATAATTTATTTTTACCCACTGCTCAAATAAAACAGGCCCATTCAATACATATGCCCTTCTCTGGGTGCATCTGCACTGGAGAATAAATGCAGTTGGGACCCATTTTAAATATTATTATTATGCCATGTCCCCATGTTGTGCAGTCCTGGGAGTCATAGTTTTCCAAGGTGCATACCCTTCTCTTGGTGCATTTACAGTATGGGATGAATGCCCTTGTACCCACATTAAATGCCATGACTCCATGCAATGGAGTCCTCCTGGGAGTTATAGTTTCCCAAGGTCCACCCCCTTCTCTGGATGCATCTACACTGTGGAAGAATGCAGTTGGACCTTACTTTAAATGCCATGACTTCATGAGATGGTCATGGGAATTGCAGTTTCCCAAGGTTCATGAAACTCCTCTGGATGCATCTGTGAAATGAACGCTGCTGGACCTTACTTTAAATATCATAACTCCATAATGTGCAATCCTGGGAGTTATAGTTTTCCAAGGTCCACACCTTTCTCTGTGGGGTAGCTGAGAGAGTGCATCGCCACTTCCCCTTGCTTCCAGATTGTAGTGCCTAGTGATTACAGTGTGAAGGCAAATCTACTGAAAGAATGTGGAGTACAACCGAGTGACACAGATACATTTAACAGTGTGATGAAAGTTGGGAAATCATCTGTTTCATTTCAAAACTGAGTATGGCTGTGCTCTACACTTCCCTGCTTCAATATGATGACGTCCTCGCAACAATGCATCAAGTTTGGACAACGGAGACAGAAATCAATTGTCCAAACAGGTCTGTGTGTGGACTTCTGATTTCTTCCGGGATTTTTTGCCCCTGTTGAAAAACCCGTGATTTAGTGCTGTCTGGAAGCGCCCCGAGTTCGTGCTAGGAAAACAAAGTTTTTAGAGGGGAACAACGACTTTCAAAGGAAGGACTACACAATGAAACAGGAATAATACTTTCAACCCAGGAACAGAACGCTTCACAAATGTTGTGACAAGGCGCAATGCGACAGGAACAGCACACAATCCGGAACGAAAGAGGCACAGGCGACGGTGGCTTGAAAAAAGGCTTTTAATGCTTTTCAAGGGGAGAGAAGAGGGCTAGGAAGAGCTGCAAAAGAAGGGGGTCCCTCCGTGTTGGGCTCTGCGTTGGGCGGCCTTAGAAGCATTTCCGGTGGACGATGGAGGGCCCGGCTTCATCGTACTCGGGTTTGCTGATCCACATCTGCTGGAAGGTGGAGAGCGAGGCCAGGATGGAGCCCCCGATCCAGACAGAGTACTTCCGCTCTGGAGGCGCAATGATCTGCAAAGGAGGACAGAAAGAAGAGTCAAGGGCCACGGCCTTTGCAACCAACTGTGGAACGGAGGCAGCTTGGCCCCACTTGAACTACCGGGTATCAATGCAACAAAGCCACTGGAGTTGTAGTTTTCCAAGGCTTTTGGACATCTCTTCCCAAAGAGTCAAGTCAAATCAACTTTATTTGTATCCATCCCATCCTTCCTTAGGGACCCGGGGCAGCTAAACTACAACTCCCAGGACCCCAAAATATCAAAATAGCTGGTGAAGTTTGGGGAAGATAGATCTATTTTCCCCAAACTCCACCAGTGTTCACATTCGGGCATATTGTTCCAAGGTTGCGTCAATTCAATTGTTAGTGGGGTTCAGAGGAACTATAAATCCCAGCAAATACAACTCCCCAAGTGTCAAGATCTATTTTCCCCAAACTCCACCAGTGGTCACATTTGAGCACATTGAGTATTGGTGCCAAGTTTGGCCCAGATCCATCCTTGTTTCAGTCCACAGTGCTCTCTGGATGTAGGTGAACTACAACTCCCAAACTCAAGGTCAGTGCCCACCAAAACCTTCCAGTATTTTCTCTTGGTCGTGGGAGTTCTGTGTGGCAAGTTTGGTTCAATTCCATTCTTGGTGGAGTTTAGAATGCTCTTTGATTGTAGGTGAACTATAAATCCCAGCAACTACAACTGCCAAGTGTCAATATCTATTTTCCCCAAATTCCACCAGTGTTCACATTTAAGCACATTGAGTACTGGTGCCAAGTTTGGTCCAGAACCATCATTTCTGAGTTCACAGTGCTCCCTGGAGGTAGGTGAACTACAACTCCCAAACTCAAGGTCAGTTCCCACCAAGCCCTTCCAGTATTTTCTCTTGGCCATGGGAGTTCTGTGTGCCAAGTTTGGTTCAATTCCATCATTGGTGGTGTTCAGAATGCTCTTTGATTGTAGGTGAACTATAAATCCCAGCAACTACAACTCCCAAATGTCAAGGTCTATTTTCCCAAAACTCCCAACAGTGTTCACATTTGGGCATATTGAGTATTCATGCCAACTTTGATCCAGATCCATCATTGTTTGAGTCCACAGTGCTCTCTGGATGAAGGTGAACTACAATTCCAAAACTCAAGGTCAATGCCCACCAAACCCTTCCAGTATTTTCACTTGGTCGTGGGAGTTCTGTGTGCCAAGTTTGGTTCAATTCCATTGTCGGTAGAGTTCAGACTGCTCTTTGATCGTAGGTGAACTATAAATCCCAGCAACTACAACTCCCAACTGTCAAGGTCTATTTTCCCAAAACTCCACTAGTGTTCAAATTTGGGCACATTGTGTATTGGTGCCAAGTTTGGTCCAGATCCATCCATGTTTGAGTCCACAGTGCTCTCTGGATGTAGGTGAACTACAACTCCCAAACTCAAGGTCAATGTCCACCAAACCCTTCTATTATTTTCTCTTGGTCATGGGAGTTCTGTGTGCCAAGTTTGGTTCAATTCCATTGTTGGTGGAGTTGAGAATGCTCTTTGATTGTAGGTGAACTATAAATCCCAGCAATGACAACTCCCAAATGTCAAGGTCTATTTTCCCCAAACTCCACCAGTGTTCACATTTGGGCACATTGAGTATTGGTGCCAAGTTTGGTCCAGATCCATCATTGTTTGAGTCCACAGCGTTCTCTGGATGTATTTATTTATTTATTTACAGTATTTCTATTCCGCCCTTCTCACCCCGCAGGGGACTCAGGGCGGATCACAATGCACATATACATGGCAAACATTCAATGCCATAGACACATAACATATATAGACAGACACACAGAGGCTATTTAACTTTCTGGCTTCATGAGGATATGCTTTGAATTCCGGCCACCGGGGGTCACTTCACCGTCCACTTGTGACACTTATGGAGTACTTCCTCATTCTTTTGCGCACTGCTGGAGATTTTTATGGCGTCGTAAATTAGTTAAGTTAGCTTCCCCGCGTAAGCGGATACCTAAATTTCTTTCTAGCTTCATGAGGATATGCTTCGAATTCTGGCCACCAGGGGTCACTTCACCATCCACTTGTGACACTTATGGAGTACTTCCTCATTGTTTTGCACGCTGCTGGAGATTTTTATGGCGTCGTAAATTAGTTAAATTAGTCTCCCCACATAAGCGGTACCTAAATTTCCTACTTGACAGATGCAACTGTATTTCAGGCTGCAAACAGCAAGCTAGACAAATGGTCAGGAGCTTACTCCGACCTGGGCTGGCTTCGAACTCATGACCGTTCAGTCAGTAGTGATGTTAATGCAGCTGACTCCCAACCAGCTGCGCCACAACCCGGTCCTTTTCCCAAGATACCTTACCTTCTAACTACCTCACATAACTACCAATTCCAGAGTTCCTTCAGATTAGAACTATGGCAGATGTTCCAACACTTCCTTTCCTTAAAATGATAGTGAAAAGATGCAAAAGGCTAGAAATTCAAGGTAAAATTGCCTTTGCAGTTGGAGCATATACTTGGATTAAGGTTATATCAATGGGTTGCCACTGAAGCCTAACTGACATGATTTGGTCAGTCTTTGTATTCTATCTCTCGACTACTTTTTCCAATCACTCCTCACTGTAAATTCTCAGGTTATCTTTTTTTCCAGTAAAACAATGCAGTTATTTGAACTATAACTCCCAAACTCAAGGTCAATGCCCACCAAACCCTTCCAGTATTTTCTCTTGGTCGTGGGGGTTCTGTGTGCCAAGTTTGGTTCAATTCCATCGTTGGTGGAGTTCAGAATGCTCTTTGATTGTAGGTGAACTATAAATCCCAGCAACTACAACTCCCAAATGACAAAATCAATCCCCCCTCCAACCCCACCAGTGGGCATACCAGGTATTTGTAACAAATTTGGTCCAGTGAATGGAAATACATCCTGCATCAGATATTTACATGACGGTTCATAAGAGTAGCAAAATTACAGTTACGAAGTAGCAACAAAAATAATGTTATGGTTGGGGGTCACCAAACATGAAGAACTGTACTAAGGGGTCATGGTATCAGGAAGGGTGAGAAACACTGGTTTACAAGGTCTTGAGCCTTCTCTGCCAATGGTTGCGGAAGCCTCACCAAACAACAAATCCCACCATTGCATTACATGAGAGATGCAGTCCCTCAAAGAGGAGCTTTTGCAGCAGCTTCCGCTTTGGCTCAGCACTAAGATTACGGTATGATATGAATCTCATTTTGCAGAGGCCGTTTAGCCCCAAAAGGTGAGTATTAAGAACTCAAATCAATAGGGTGTCTCTCTTGTGGGACCCACCTTAATCTTCATGGTGCTGGGGGCCAAGGCAGTGATCTCCTTCTGCATGCGGTCAGCAATGCCGGGATACATGGTGGTGCCCCCTGAAAGGACGTTGTTGGCGTAGAGGTCTTTGCGGATGTCGATGTCACACTTCATGATGGAGTTGTATGTCGTTTCGTGGATCCCCGCTGACTCCATGCCTGCAGGTAGAAAGAGAGCCCTTAAGGGGAGTCCACACTGCAGAATTCACCCAGTTAAATACTACAGTAGGCTCTCAGTGAACCTCAGGGTCCTCCAGAGTATCATACTTGGGATGGAACCCCAAAGGTCATCTAGCCCAACTCATTCTGGCAGGCAGGAAAACACTGTTCGATCCATCTCGAGATCCGTATCATAGACTCATAGAACCCTAGAGTTGGGAGGAACCTCTAAGGTCAACCGGTCCAAACCATTTCTGCAAGGCAGGAAGTCCCCACTGGATCCCTCCCAACAGATGGCAATCCAGGCCGATTTATCATAGAACCCTAGAATTGGGAGGGACCTCAAAGGTCATCCAGCCCAACCCATTTGGCCGGCAGGAAAACACAGTTTGATGCTTCTCAACAGATGGCTATCCAGCCCCTCAATCATAGAATCATAGAACCCTAGAGTTGGGAAAGACCTCAAAGATCATCTAGTCCAACCCATTTGGCAGGAGGAAAAGCACCATTCGATCTATCTTGACAGATGGCCATCCAGCCTCTCAATCATAGACTCATAGAACCCTAGAGTTGGGAGGGACCTCAAAAGTCACCTCGCCCAACCCATTTGGCAGGCAGAAAAACACCATTCGATCTATCTCAACAGATGGCCATCCAGCCCCTCAATCATAGGGTCATGGAGTCCTAGAGTTAGGAAAGACCTCAAAGGTCATCTAGCTGAACCCATTTGGCAGGCAGAAAAACACTATTTGATCTGTCTCGACAGATGGCCATCCAGACCCTCAATCATATGGTCATAGAGTCCTAGATGGAAGGCACCTCAAAGGTCATCTAGCCCAACCCATTCTGGCAGGCAGAAAAACACCATTTGATCTATCTCGACAGATGGCCATCCAGCCCCTCAATCATAGAGTCATGGAGTCCTAGATGGAAGGGACCTCAAAGGTCATCTAGCCCAACCCATTCTGACAGGCAGAAAAACACCATTTGATCCATCTCGACAGATGGCCATTCAGCCCTCAATCATAGAGTCATAGAACCCAAGTTGGGAAGGACCTCAAAGATCATCCAGTGCCACCCACTTCTGCAAGGCAGGAAATCTCCACTGGATCCCTCCCAACAGATGGCCATCCAGCCCCACAATCACAGATTCATAGAATCCTAGAGTTGGAAGAATACTCAAAGGTCATCCTGTCCAATCCATTCTGCCAGGCAGGGAGACACCATCTGATCCCTCCCAAGAGATGACCATCCAGTGCTTCAATCATAGAACGAAGTGCCCCAATTCCCCCCATTGTCTCACCAATGAAGGAGGGCTGGAAGAGGGTCTCTGGGCAGCGGAAGCGCTCATTGCCGATGGTGATGACCTGCCCATCGGGGAGCTCGTAGCTCTTCTCGAGGGAGGAGGAGGAGGCAGCGGTGGCCATCTCGTTCTCAAAGTCCAGCGCCACGTAGCATAGCTTCTCCTTGATGTCGCGCACGATCTCCCGCTCAGCTGCAGAGGGAGGATGGAAGGGTGGGTGGGCTTAGACCCCAAGGGAGCGAAAGGGCCCAAAGGAGGACCCCAAAGAAGGCCACCACCACCCTTTGCAACCCCCTGGAGAATGACCCCAGCAATGGAGTGAAGGTTGGAAATGCAGGGAAAGGGTGGGCACATTCCGTCATGTAAAAAGTCCCCAGAGATACTGGGCACAAAGACATACTATATTAGACGACATTGTTAAAGTCTAATATAAATATTAGTAAACAAAGAAATTGGAAACGGGGTCGTATCTGAAACCAGCTCCAGGGATGGCATGTCGGTGGGGCAGCGAATCCAGACCAGGCTTTAGTGTTTGTAAAGCTATGCAAGACTTACTTCCGCCAAAAGATCTGTTGTTGTTACCATTGTTGTTGTTATAACCTGCTTACCAGTGGTGACGAAAGAGTATCCCCTCTCGGTGAGGATCTTCATGAGGTAGTCGGTCAGGTCACGGCCGGCCAGGTCCAGGCGCATGATGGCGTGGGGCAGGGCATAGCCTTCGTAAATGGGCACATTGTGTGTCACACCATCGCCTGAGTCTAACACGATCCCTGCAATGGAGCAAAGAGACAGGCTTTGAACAGGCAGGTCACCAGCTGCAAAGACCCATTATGGCCCCACCATGACTGCACTGCTGCGAGATAGATAGATAGATAGATAGATAGATAGATAGATAGGTTCAATAAGCATAAATATGCAATATCTGCAATAAGCATAAATAAGTGTAAACCACCGCCTCCTCCTGAGTAAAATGTATAATATCACAAAGGATTACCATCTCACCCGCCTCATAGGAAATCTGCTACAAAACAGGATCTTTTTTGTTGAGTCCCGGGGCCAAAGAAGCAGATGGCGGAAACAGAAGAACGGCCTGCTTCAGGGGAGCGTGCTTGCTCCATCAATGTTCAACATTTACACAAATGACCAGCCATTGCCAGAAGGGACAAAGAGCTTCATCTATGCTGGTGATCGTGCCATTATCGCTCAAGCAGGGAGCTTTCAGATGATTGAACAGAAGCTCTCCAAAGCTCTAGGTGCGCTTACTGCCTATTACAGAGAAACCAGCTGATTCCTAACCCATCTAAAACACAGATATGTGCTTTTCATCTTATGAACAGACAAGCATCCCGAGCTCTGAGGATGACCTGGGAAGGAATTCCACTGGAGCATTGCAACACACCCAAATATCTGGGTGCTCTGGACCGTGCTCTGACCTACAAGAAGCACTGCCTGAACATCAAGCAAAAAGTGGGCGCTAGAAATAATATCATGCGAAAGCTGACTGGTACAACCTGGGGATCACAACCAGATACAGTGAAGACATCTGCCCTTGCATTATGCTACTCTGCTGCTGAGTATGCATGTCCAGTGTGGAACACATCTCACCACGCTAAAACAGTGGGTGTGGCTCTTAATGAGACATGCCGCATTTTCACGGGGTGTCTGCGCCCTACACCACTGGAGAAACTACACTGTCTAGCCAGTATTGCACCATCTGACATCCGCCGGGAAGTAGCAACCAATAGTGAAAGGACCAAGGTAGTGACATCTCTAGCTCATCCCGTTTGGATATTAGCCAGCGCGTCAACGACTTAGATCAAGAAATAGTTTTCTAAGATCTACAGAGACACTCGCTGGAACACCTCAGCAAGCGAGAGTCCAAAAGTGGCAGGCTCAAACCCAGAACCTCAATCAATGGCTGGTACCAAATGAGAGACTCCCCCCTGGGCACACAGAAGACTGGGCGACTTGGAAGGCGCTGAACAGACTGCGCTCTGGCACCACGAGATGCAGAGCCAATCTTAAGAAATGGGGCCACAAAGTGGAATCCACGACATGCGAGTGTGGAGAAGAGCAAACCACTGACCACATGCTGCAATGCAACCTGAGCCCTGCCACAAGCACAATGGAGGACCTCCTTGCGGCAACACCAAGTGGCCAGATACTGGTCAAAGGACATTTAATAGAATAACAAGTCTGCAATTTTTTTTGTTTTGTTTGTTGTTTGTCTGTTTTTTAATGCAATACAACTGGTTTGGTTCGCTCCTGATATGATAAATAAATAAGCATTTCTGAAAATAAGGTAAGCATGTTCAATGTATTTTTGAAGGCTTTCATGGATGGATGGCCGATGCCAACCATAGCAAGGGAGCAATGAATCTGCTCTGGGTTTTAATCCAAACTTTAAATGGGCTTTTCCAAAACCTATCCTCAATTGGATGTGGCACCTTGGAGAAAGTTTCTGAAAGCTGCCAACAGAGGTGGCCCTAGGTAATTTTCAATGGTAAGCAAACAGTATTTTGGTGCCCCCCCCCCCAACCAATCACTGATATATATTTTCTGTTCATCGTGGGAGTTCTGTGTGCCATATTTGGTTCAATTCCATCATTGGTGGCAGGCCCGTAGCCAGGATTTCGTTTCGGGGGGGGGGGGCTGAATTTTTTTTCAGGGGGGGTTTGGGGGGCTGAGTTTCGGGGGGGGGCTGAGTCTGAGTGAAAGGGGGTCTAGCCTAGCAAACCTTTTGTATCATTACCCCAATACCCCCATGCATATGGGATATATTGAGTATGGTGATCAGATCATGATATGAATAAACATAACAGTTTAAATAATGCACCAATAAGGCCTTTTCGCGAATCACCATGAGAATTTCGGGGGGGGGCTGAACCCCCCGTGCCCCCCCCCCCGTTTGGTTCAATTCCATGATTGGTGGAGTTCAGAATGCTCTTTGATTGTAGGTGAACTATACATCCCAGTAACTACAACTCACATATGTCAAGGTCTATTTTCCCCCAAGAGCGCCCCTGGGCAAAATCAACTATACTGCAAATGCTTACTTTGCGTAATGGGTTGAGCCACCCCTGGCTGCCACCCAAAACATGTGGGCCTACATAAATGCAGGCCCAGTATCAGCAGCCGCTGGAATGGTACATATCTTCAAAACATTGAAGCCAAGCTGGAAGTGGAATGTCTTCTCCAGATCAGTGCATAGGATTTTTGTGTGTGCCAAAACTGTGATTTTGGGCGCATTGCCTCTCACCTGTGGTTCTCCCAGAAGCGTAGAGGGACAGGACGGCTTGGATGGCGACGTACATGGCGGGGACATTGAAGGTTTCAAACATGATCTAGGAGAGGGGAGGAAAGGGAGGGATTTAGGGGTGCCCCTCTTGACACATTCCCAATATTATTATTGTTGTTACGAGCTAAACCCAACCATGCTTTGCTGTGTCTCAGTCAGATAGTAAATGAATGAGATAGTAAATAAAAGTATTACTGCAAATATAGATTCTCAGCGAAAACACATCATTCAATTCAATACCCTGCCTTGTGTTGCTGTGTCTATGTGGAATGAAAGGACAGGAAAGAAAAAGAGATTTTTTTAAAAAAAATATTTATATTGAAAAAATAAAATAGTTGTTACATTGAAAGTGGGTGAACATATTTGTTATAGATAAGGAGGAAGAAGAGAAAAAAGCAAAAACAAAAACACACAAAAGAGAATTTAAAAGAAAATTGATAGAAAAAGAGAGTGGAAGGGAGGAGGGGAAAAAGGAAAAGAGAAAAAAGAAAAAAGAAAAGGAAAAAAATGTTGACTTCCATCAATTCTTTGGTGGTTGTTGATAAGGTATACTACACCAAATAGAACTAAATCAGTGGGAGAAAATCCGGGATCAAAAAAATCAAATATACCTATTCTTAGTATATTGTACGATACCATTATATTGTAACATTATTAGTAATATTACTAATATTAATACCAATATTAATATTAGTAATATTAGTAAAGAGCCCCGGTGGCACAGTGGGTTAAACCCCTGTGCCGGCAGGACTGAAGGTCGCAGGTTCAAATCTGGGGAGAGGCGGATGAGCTCCCTCTATCAGCTCCAGCTCCTCATGCGGGGACATGAGAGAAGCCTCCCACAAGGGTGATAAAAACATCAAAAATCATCCTTGGGCAACGTCCTTGCAGACGGCCAATTCTCTCACACCAGAAGCGACTCACTCCTGACACAACAAAAAAAAAGAGTAATATTACATGCAATATAAAATATATCATTATAATATCATATTAGTAGTAGTAGTATTATATTGTATTACATTATAATATTATAAATATTATATGTGTATACAATATATTTATTATATTATATTATATTATATTATATTATATTATATTTATTATAAGGTTCATATATCTGTGGAATGGTGTCCAGGGTGTGAGAAAGAACTCTTGTTTGATAGAGGAATAATAATAATATTTTTTTGTCATGTCAGGAGCTACTTGAGAAACTGCAAGTCGCTTCTGGTGTGAGAGAATTGGCCATCTGCAAGGACGTTGCCCAGGGGACGCCCGGATGATTTGATGTTTTTATCATCCTTGTGGGAGGCTTCTGTCATGTCCCCACATGAGAAGCTGGAGCTGATAGAGGGAGCTCATCCGCCTCTCCCCGGATTCGAACCTGTGACCTGTCGGTTTTCAGTCCTGCCGGCACAGGGGTTTAACCCACTGCGCCACCGGGGGTTCCACTTATACTACTGAGGTGAAATGACAGCTGCTCTGTGATTGGTTGTTATTTCTCATACTGCTGTGGTAAAATGAAAGCTGCTCTGTGACAGGTTGTTATTTCTTTAACTGCTGAGGTAAAAGGAAAGCTGTGCGATGGCGATTGGTTGCTAGAGCTCATTATATTGCTGAGGTAAAAGGAAAGCTAGGCTGTGAGTGACTGCTCTTGGCATCGCAGATTCCACTTTGTCTATTCCCAGACTGCTAGTTTTACTCTAAATGCATGCGTGTATTTGAATGCAGCATTGGGTCAAAATTTCATTTTACTACATAAACACACGTGCATTGGAATGCAATGTTGTGTCGAAATGTCAAGTCAATCGATTGACAACTTTCCGAGTTTTGGAAACACAAACATACGAAGGCTGAGATTCTAGATATAAAGATTATTATTATGTTTATGTTTATTTATGCCCCACTTTTCCCTCCACAAGAAGGCTCAAAGCAGACCCACAATCGTCAACCTTCTGTCAACCCCAAAGGTCACTGGACTGCAGCGCCCAGCAGGAAGGGGCCCCAAAGGCCATCTAGTCTCACACCAAAGAAAGGGAGGAAATCCGCCTTTTGAGTCATCTGCCTTCAAAGTGGATTGAGTGGCCAATGCTCAGGGAAAGTGGAGGAAGGAAGGGGGCCTCACCTGTGTCATCTTCTCCCGGTTTGCCTTGGGGTTCAGGGGGGCCTCCGTGAGAAGTGTGGGGTGTTCCTCAGGAGCCACACGCAGCTCATTGTAGAAGGAATGGTGCCAGATCTGGAGGAGCAAAGAAAAAGGGTGGTTAGGGATTAAGCCAAAAACATCAATTGCAGGGAAGGGAAAGCCAGAGGTCCTCTAGTCCAACCCTCTCACATTCAAAAGGGAAGGAGAAGGAAGGAAGGACAGAAGGAAGGAAAAGGAAGGAGGGAGAAGAAAGTAAGAATACATGAAAGGGAGAGAAAAGGAAGACAGGAAGGAGTGAAGGGAAGGAAGAGAGGGAAGACGGGAGAGACAAAGAAGGAAGCAAGGAAGGGGAGAAGGGAAGTGACACAGGGAAAGAAGGAAGGAAAAGGAAGAAGGGAGGAGAAAGTAAGAACACATGGAAGGGAGAGGAAAGGAAGAAAGGAAGGGGAAAAGGGAAGGAAGAGAGGGAGAGAAGGGAGGAAGGAAGGAAAAGGAAGGAGGGAGAAGAAAGTAAGAATACATGAAAGGGAGAGAAAAGGAAGACAGGAAGGAGTGAAGGGAAGGAACAGAGGAAGAGAGGGAAGACGGGAGAGATGAAGAAGGAAGCAAGGAAGGGGAGAAGGGAAGTGACACAGGGAAAGAAGGAAGGAAAAGGAAGAAGGGAGGAGAAAGTAAGAACACATGGAAGGGAGAGGAAAGGAAGAAAGGAAGGGGAAAAGGGAAGGAAGAGAGGGAGAGAAGGGAGGAAGGAAGGAAAAGGAAGGAGGGAGAAGAAAGTAAGAATACATGAAAGGGAGAGAAAAGGAAGACAGGAAGGAGTGAAGGGAAGGAACAGAGGAAGAGAGGGAAGACGGGAGAGACGAAGAAGGAAGAAAGGAAGGGGAGAAAGGAAGCGACACAGGAAAAGAAGGAAGGAAAAGGAGGAGGGAGGCCCTGTTCTAGGCAGTCCCTTGTTACCTTCTCCATGTCGTCCCAGTTAGTGATGATGCCGTGCTCAATGGGGTACTTGAGGGTCAGGATACCTCGTTTGCTCTGGGCCTCGTCCCCTACGTAGCTGTCCTTCTGGCCCATGCCCACCATAACACCCTGGAAAGGAAAAGGAGGAGAAACTAAGGAAAAAGAGTGGATTTAGGGAGGAAAAGAGGGTCCCGAACCACAGGTCCCCCCAAAACACAACACAACGAATACCCCAAAAGCACAATCCTGGCCTTTGCTGCTTACTCTTCCCTTCTTTGCTGGTCAAAGGGGTTTTGCAAGGCTTCAAAAGCCAGCCATTGCTGCTACCTTTGGAAAAGAACAACCTGTTGCAAATACTAGGTATTTTGCATCACTATCTAACGCTATGATTTTGGTTCTGCCGGGCAGGAGGACACTATCTAATGCCTCCCAAGAGAGGCCATCAAGACACTGCATAATAATAATAATAATAATAATAATAATAATAATAATAATAATTTATTATTATTATTATTATTATTATAGATCTCGTTTGCTGTGACATATTGTGCTTTTATGTCAATAATAATAACACTGCATAATAATAATAATAATAATAATAATAATAATTTATTATTATTATTATTATAGATCTCGTTTGCTGTGACATATTGTGCTTTTATGTCAATAATAATTATTATTATTATTATAGATCTCGTTTGCTGTGACATATTGTGCTTTTATGTCAATAATAATAATAATAATAATAATAATACCATAAGATGCTAGAGTTGGAAGGGCCCCCCAGAGTCAATCCAGTCCAACCCACTTCTGCCAAATAGGAGGACACAATCTAATGCCTCCCAGGAGAGGTCATCAAGACACGGCATAATAATAATAATAATAATAATAATAATAATAATAATAATAATAATAATTTATTATTATTCATTCTAGATCTCGTTTGCTGTGACATACTGTGCTTTTGTGTCAATAATAATAATAATAATAATAATAATAATAATAATAATAATACCATAAGATGCTAGAGTTGGAAGGGCTCCCCAGAGTCAATCCAGTCCAATCCACTTCTGCCAGGAAGGAATGCACAACCTAATCCTTCCTGACAGAGGGCCATCCATAGCCTGAATAACAATAATTATCATAATACCATAGGATCCTAGATTTGGAAAGGTCCCCCAAAGGCAATCCAATCCAACCCACTTTTGCTAGGCAAGAGGACGCAATCTAATGCCTCCCAAGAGAGGGCCATCCATCCTCTGCTTAAAGGCTTCCAGAGAAGAGACAGCACCAGACTCTAAATCCTAAGGTTTGAATGGACCCACAAAGGCCATCCAGTCCAACCTGCTACTTCCAGTAAGGAGGACATAACCTAATATCTTCTGACAGAGGGCCATCCAGACACTGCATAATAATAATAATAATAATAATAATAATAATAATAATAATAGATCCTAGAGTTGTAATGGCCCCCCAAAGTCAATCCAGTCCAATCCACTTCTGCCAGGAAGGAATGCACAACCTAATCCCTCCTGACAGAGGGCCATCCATAGTCTGAATCTCAACAACAACAACAACAATAATAATCATACAATAGGATCCTAGAGTTGAAAAGCCCCCCAAAGGCAATAAAGTCCAACCCACTTCTGCCAGGCAGGAGGACACAATCTAATCCCTCCTGTCAGAGGGCCGTCTAGCCTCTGCATAATAATAATAATAATAATAATAATAATAATAATAATAATAGGATGGTAGAGTTGGAAAAGCAATCCAGTTCAACCCACTTCTGCCAAGCAGGAGGACACAATCTAATCCCTCACAACAGAGGGCCATCCAGACTCTACATAATAATAAAAACAACAATAATAGGATCCTAGAGTTGGAAGGGTCAACCAAAGGTCCTCTATTCCAACCTGCTTCTGCCAGAAAGTCAGATATAATGGAATCACTCCCAACAGAGGGCCATCCAGACTCTGCATAATAATAATAATAATAATAATAATAATAATAATAATAATAATAATAATAGGATCCTAGAGTTGGAAGGGCCCCCAAAGGCAATCCAGTCTAACTCGCTTCTGCCAAGCAACAGGACACAATCTAATCCCTCCTGACAGGTGGCCATCCAGCCTCAGTTTAAAGACACCTCCCCCCCCCCCCAGAGCAGGCAGCACCATCAGCATTGCCCCCACAAACCTGGTGCCTTGGGCGTCCCACGATGGAGGGGAAGACGGCGCGGGGGGCATCATCGCCCGCAAAGCCCGCCTTGCAAAGACCGGAGCCGTTGTCGCAGACGAGAGCAGTGGTCTCCTCTTCGCACATGATGATGGGCTACGGAGTGACTGTGGCAGGGCAAGGAAGACTGGAGGGAGGAAAAGAAAGGCATGAATCCTAGAATCCTAAAGATGGAAGGGAACCCAAGGGCCATGCTCTCCAGTCTCTTGCCAGGCAGGAAAAGCACAACCCAAGCCCTCCTGACAGGTGACCATCCAGCCTCTGCTTGAGAACCTCCAAAGGAGGAGAGACCTATTCAAGGAAGCAGATTCCACCGTCGAACAGCTATTCCTGTGAGGAAGTTCTTCCTAATTTTGAGGTGGAATCTCTTTTCCTGCAATTTGAATTAATGGCTCCATCGAGGCCGGGAAACCTGAGGGAAGGAGAACAGAGTGGGGCTAGGATGTCCCTTAACTTATTCTTATTGATGCAACCAAGAATCGCATTGGCCTTTTGAGCTGATGCATCACAGTGTTGGCAACAGTTCTACAATGTAGACATAGATGCAGACCAGAACATAGGCACAAAAGAGGCGTAAGGGACACCAGAAGGAATAATCCCAGGAGTTGTAATTTTGCATGGTCTTAAGCCTTCTCTGCCCAAGAGTGCTAAGGCCTCCCAAACTATAACTCCCAGGATACCATTGCATTGAGCCAAAGTGGGGTCAAATGGCATCACATTTCCAGTGGAAGATGCACATCTTCGATTGCAACTCCTGAGATTCGGTAGCATTGAACCATGGCACTTAAAAGTGGAATGAAACTGGTTTCATTCTATAGTGTAGATCAGTGTTTCTCAACCTGGGGGTCGGGTCCCCTGGAGGGAGTTGAGAGGGGGTGTCAGAGGGTTAGCAAAGACCGTCAGAGAGCACAGTCTTTACTATTGGTCATGAGGGTTCTGTGTAGGAAGTTTGGCCCAATTCCATCGTTGGTGGGGTTCAGAATGCTCTTTGATTGTTGGTGAACTATAAACTCCAGCAACTACAACTCCCAAATGTCAAGGTCTATTTTCCACAGTGTTTGAGTCCACAGTGCTCTCTGTGTGTAGGTGAATTACAACTCCAAAACTCAAGATCAATGTCCACCATATCCTTCCAGTTTTTCTGTTGGTCATGGGAGTTCTGTGTGCCAAGTTTGGTTCAATTCCATCATTGATGGAGTTCAGAATGCTCTTTTATTGTCAGTTAACTATATATAACAGCAGCTACAACTCCCAAATAACAAAATAACACACACACACACACACACCCGCCCACACCATTAGTATTCAAATGTGGGCGTATTGGGTATTTGTGCCAAATTTGTTTCAGTGAATGAAAATACATCCTGCATATCGGATATTTACATTACAATTCATAAAATTGCAAAATTAGTTATGAAGTAGCAATGAAATAATGTTATGGTTGGGGTCACCACAACACGAAGAACCGTATTAAGGGACAGCGGCATTAGGAAGGTTGAGAAACACTGGTGTAGATTCACTTCCCTGGGGCTAGAAAGTATCCACTTGAACACATCCCTGTTTGTTGTGCTGCACACATTTATATCTACACTCATGCCATTTCCTTCCTTGTTTTGCAACCTGGAAACCTCCCAACACTTCCTTCAGCATTCTTTGCAATATCTTTCTGCTCGTCCCAGAAGCTCTGAGCATGAATCACCCAGAGGAGCCTGAGAGTAAACAGAAACACCAACTCCATCCCGGTCTTTTCCCAAAAATGGAAGAAATCCTTCCTAAAGGCCCCTCCCTGCAGGCCCCAGAACAGGGAAGGCATCAGCCGAATCTAAAGGGCGGCTGCGGCTCCTGGTTTCTTCCAGCACCAAGGTATCGATGCAACCAGGAAAAGGCATCAATGCAATTGCGGAAAACCCAGGAAAAGCATCAATGCAATTGGATATAGTCATCAATGTAAACAGGGAAAACTGGGAAAGACATCCATGCAACTTGGGAAAGGCATCAATGCAACCGAGGAAAGGCATCAGTGCAACTTGGGCAAGGCATCAATGCAACTGGGGGAAGGTATCAATCCAAGTGGAGAAAGGCATCAATGCAACCTGGGAAAGGCATTAGTGCAACTGGGGAAAGGCATCAATTAAACTGGGGGGAAGGTATTAATGCAACTTGGGAAAGATATATGTGCAGCTGGGGAAAGGCATCAATGCAACTGGGGGAAAGCATCAGTGCAAATGGGGAAAACCAGGAAAGGCATCAGTACAACTGGGTAAAGGCTTCAGTGTAACTGGGGAAAGGCATCAATGCAACTGGGGAAAGGCATCAGTGCAATAGAGAAAGGCATCAATGCAACTTGGGAAAGATATCCATGCAACTGGGGAAAGGTATCAATGCAACTGGAGAAATACATCAATGCAACTGGGGAAAGGCATCAATGCAACTGGGGAAAGGCATCACTGGGGAAAGGCACCAGTGTAACTGGGAAAGGCATCAATGCAACTGGGGAAAGGCATCAGTGTAACTGGGGAAAGGCATCAGTGTAACTGGGAAAGGCATCAATGCAACTGGGGAAAGGCATCAGTGTAACTGGGGAAAGGCATCAATGCAACTGGGGAAAGGCATCGATGCAACTTGGGAAAGGTATCAGTGCAACTGGGAAAGGCATCAATGCAATTGGGGGAAACCGTGAAGGGGATCAATGCAATTGGGAGAAAGGAAGGTAAGGCATCAGTAACACAGGAACAAGGCATCTCCAGTCATCTGCCATCCATTGTTTTTCCTAATTTCCAAACTGCCCAATTTGTTTACACCTTAAGCCCAAATTTGCACTTCAAATTTGACAAAGCACATGTTTCATGTCCTCCGTGTCAAATCAAATGGACCATCCTGGGGTGCCTTTTTGCAAGAAATACGCCAAAGCAGAGGAAAGGCTTTCAAATGAAATGCCCAACTTCCCACTGTTTTTCATCAGGACCGTAAATATAACAATAATAATAGTTCTGCATCCAGTCTGGTGCCCCCCATCCCACTCAAAGACGCACCAGACGAGCATTTCCCAGGTGCATCAGCTGCTTGGAGACTATTTTGAGAGAGGAAAGCAGGATAATAATAAATGACAGTTGTTGTTGCTGCTGGTGTTATTCTTCAGTTCTTGTATCCCTATCCTGTCTAAAGATGCACAAAGAGAAGCGTTTCCCAGGTGCCTCAGCTGCTTTGAGTTGCCAATTTGCTTTGAATTTCTTTTAAGGGCTGAATGCAGGATCAGGGTCATCAGCATCACTCTGCATCCATTCCTGCATCTCCATTCCACCCAATGATGCACAAAGGGGAAAGCATAATCATAATCACTTATCATAACTTTATTTTTGTACCCCACCTCAGTCTCCCCAAAGGGACTCGGGGTGGGTTACATATGGCACAAGGTGCCGAGACAAAGCATAAAATAAACACAAAGTATAAAATCCTAGAATCCCAGAGTTGGAAGAGACCTGGTGGGCCATCCAGTCCAACCCCCTTCTGCCAAGAAGCGGGAAAATTGCATTCAAAGCACCCCTGACAGATGGCCATCCAGCCTCTGCTTCAAAGCCTGCAAAGAAGAAGCCTCCACCATACTCTGGGGCCGAAAAAGAGTTCCACTGCTGAATAGCTCTCCTTATAGTGAGGAAGTTCTTCCTAATGTTCAAGTAGTTGGAAGCCATTGTTCCATTGCAGCAGAAAACAAGCCTCCTCCCTCCTTCCTATGGTTCCCCTCACCTCTTGATCCATGGCCCTCTTCATGTCTCCTCTCAGCCTTCTCTTCTACAAGCTAAACATGCCCAGCTCTTTAAGCCGCTCCTCATTGGGCTTGTTTTCTAGACCCTTGATCCTTTGAATCACCCTCCTCCTCTGGACACAGTTTTCCAGCTTAGAGTCAACCTCTCCCTTCCATTGCGGTGCCCAGTCTGATTCCAGGTAAAGTGGTCTGACCAAGGCAGAATAGAATAGAAGGGGAACATGACTTCCCTGGATCTAGGCACAAGGCTCCTATTGATGCAAACTAAAACCCCATTGGCTTTTTAACTGCCACATCACATTCCTGGCTCATGTTTAACTTGTCCATGAGAACTCCAAGATCTTTTTCCCACGTTCTGCTGTTGAGCCAGGCATCGTCCCCCATTCTGTATCTTTGCATTAACTCTTTTTCTGCCTAAGTGGAGTCTCTTGCATTTGTCCCCGTTGCACTTCCTTTTGTTGGTTTTGGCCCATCATCTTTCTAATCTGTGAAGATCATTTTGAATTCTGCTCCTGTCTTCTGGAGTATTAGCTCTCCCTCCCAATTGGGTCCCTCCTGCACACTTGATGATCGTGCTTTCTAACCCTTCATCTAAGTCTTTCATAAAAATGTTGAACCCTGCTGATGGCACTCCACTCCTCTCTTCTTTCTAGGAGGAAGCCTTGGGGAGAATCACCCTAACTCTTCATCTAAGCACAATATAAAGTAAAAACTATAGCATATAAAAACAGCCATTTAAAACTCAACAACACCCAGCGACCTATGGTGGCAACTACCACAAGATATGGCCAAACTGTAAACAAGACAAGGGAATAGGATGGTGCAAATTGTAGCTAAGGAAGAGAGCATGGGATGAAAGTGCAGTGCTGTGTCATTGATTGTGGACCATCGGGGCTACATGTTCTCAAAGGCTTGTTTAAACAGCCAAGTCTTCCAGATCTCAATAGAAGGAGGACAGTGTGGTGGCCTGCCTAATCTCCCTGGAAGGGCGTTTGGGCCACCACTGAGAAGGCCCTCTCCCTCGTCCCCACCAACTGATCTTGTGCTGGTGGTGGGACCGAGAGGAGGATTTCCCTGGCATATATTAACGCTCGAGCAGATTCATAGGAGAAGATGTGATCACAAAGATAGGCAGGGCCCAAACAATTCAGGACTTTATAGGACTTTACAGGGATAAGCAGCTGATCCCTAACCCATCTATAACACAGAAATGTGCTTTTCACCTTAAGAACAGACAAGCATCCTGAACTCTGAGGATGACCTGGGAAGGAATCCCACTGGAACATTGCAGCACACCCAAATACCTGGGAGTCACTCTGGATCGTGCTCTGACCTACAAGAAGCACCGCCTGAATAT